TTTTTTCATAAAGCGAACAGTATTTTTCACTTTTATAAATGATAACAAGATAATGACGAATGGTGTTGGCGACTGCTCGTCGACGTCTCTGTGGGATTTATTATCTAACATTATCTGAATCCTGAGTTATTGCACTGATGAATATACGCACGCTGTTGACGTCATCACAAATCTCGGCCCAAATTCTCGTGTCTTTTCGACTGCCAGTTCATGGCACGGATTGGCGGCATTTTGTCTAGGCCTATGTTTTCAGAAAGATTTTAGAAGAGAGGAAGAAGCAAACATCGCAATACTTCTTGAATTCAAGAGACGAATACTTAACATATTATGGGATTATTATTGTTTATTATTATTGAATAATTATGCATAATCAGAGAGGCCATGGCATGATTCATTTTCTAATGGAACGTAATTACTGATAAAGGGTTACGTAGGCAAGGCCAAATGACAAAATTTATAATAGGCCTATATTTATAAAATACTTTTATATATATTTGTTTAATTTATAATAGGCCTATTAATATAGGCCTACAGTAGACTTTTCGTTACGTTCGATGTGAACCAGTCTTATGAGGCTCTGTTCACAGGGCAGATATCGGTAGCAGAGTCAGAGGGTAGGGTTGCAGGAACCTATACCTTGCATCCTAATTATTTAATATTTTCAAAATGGGGATGGGTAGGGGAAAGAAGATTATATTCAAAATGTAGGTCCGGAGAGCCATTTTCGGTATTTATCGATACGGTACTATTTAAAAATATATTTGAAAATAATATTACGAATCGATAAATTAATTAGGTGAATTTATGCGATGGATGAGAGAAATGTTAAGGGCCCCATGCAAACCTAAGACTAGTTTTTTTTTTTTTTTTTTTTTTTTTTGACAGTAGTATTATAAGATAGGCCTATAATAATTATTTAGTTATTGGTCATGAGTGCTGATGCATCAACATAAAGAGACCAGAGTCGCTATTACATGCCCCAGACGGCCCAGTGTTAAAAGCAAAATGATGTCGATGTTATTTTTTAGTAGTTACAACCGCAAATGAATCATATACTATGGGGAGAGTGGTCAGATTTCGTAGTGGGGTTTACTAAATCGAGGTTAATAGTAGGCCTATAGAAATCTAAAATGTGTTTAGTATGAGCGGGAAATATAAAGCGTCGTTGACAAAATTTGCTCTATATTGGATGAAGGCCTATAGTATTATATTGATGTAACAACATTCGATCCATTTCTGTCAGACATTTCATCCAGGTGAAATCATTACTCGCTATTATCCTTATATCTGTCTATTTTCATTACAATTGTGTTTCATCGATCAGTATGTTACTGGTTAATTTGTACTTTCATTTAGATACACCGTTGTGGAAATAACACTTCTTATTTATTCAAATTGCTATATATATATATATATATATATATATAATAAACGGCAATTCAGAACATAAAGGAAGCCGCGAACGCTACAAACCTAACAACATAAATTTGCGTCTAGCCATCGCATACTACCCAAAATGACTAATAATGTTCCATAAATCACCATGGACAAACAATAACACATGGCGGAAGGAGAAATGTAAACTCCAATTTTAACACTCAAAACAGCGTAGGTCTGACGTATTCCCCTTGTCTGTATCTGTACTGATTAAATGATGACAAAGAAGGGAGACGTAGTTGTTATCAATTATACTGAATTAATATTTTAAAGAGGCTGTGATATAATTATGTTAATGAGCTCACAATTCAGTTTTATGTTAAATTGTAAACTGAGTTTTCAAAAAATAAGCTGTCATTATATCAGATTGATGTTTTCACAAATGAATTAGCTATGATACATGACGTATCCTCAACGCGCTCGCTGCGCAGTTCGCGTGCCTATGATGTAACACACAGGGCCCCGGCGGTGGCAGGCAACAAACTGGCACTGGGTGTTGGATGTTTTTTTGTAGTTTGATTAGCAATAGGCCTACGATGGGTTGTCGTTTATTGGTTATGTCTGTAGAGTTAATCTAGTTGCTTGATTTGACCGTTGGAATGTCACTAGTTTGTGATTTGGTGTGCCTGTATTTTTATCAGGGTGATTTCACTGTTCCCTCAGATTGTAATTTTTATACTTCCATTGCACTGTCCAACGAGCATTTATTATATCAGAGATATACTATAAATTATGTTGTGATCGACCCTCATGGTAACAGTACAGTCCTACACATGCGTGAGTTCCTCCACCAGTGAATATTTACTAAAATATAAATGAAAATGAGAGATGTACACTCATCCCGGCTTAGAGAAATGAAAAATCATCCGTTCAATATACACCATGATAACTACGTTCCGGTTATAGAATTGTATAGTATATAATACTAGGTCTTTATTGTGCTTTGTGTTGTGTGTTTCCTAATAATTATATCACTGTTATTTTACTTCATACCTCATTAAAAGCTTACAGAGTGCAAACACAGACATCAAAACGAAGAATGACATCTTTCCAAGCTCAAACATATAGCTTGATTTTGGGCTTTAAGGATAAATGAATATCAGTTGAGGCATTATATGAATTAGGGGATTATATTTGAAGCCTATGATAGCTATTCAGTCATTTCCTCTGCAGTTCCTCCAAGGCTAGGTCCGTAGAAAGCGAGTGTTATATTTTACACGTACACTGCACGTCTATCAACGCGTCCAGTTCATATGTCATTTTGGTAATACAGTATTGCACCGTAGGCCTATACTTCAAATGTCATAATGTTTTGGAAGGAATTAGCCTACAAGCCAAATATGGCTATTGTATATTAACAACATACCGTAATGACTGTCCATCAGTGATTAATTAGGACCTATCGCTTTATTATTATTAGTTGATCAGTGTTTGATCGTCATATTCAATCCAAATTTCATTCTGTTGTCCTATCGTAAATTATTGTTGGGCTAAATTAGGACTTCTGAAAGGACACACCATTGAATGTTAATGCATACTGTACCTAGGCCTACATAAATAATTCAACGAACATCCGCACTAGGCCTACATATTGCGTTATGTACGTGTGACTGTGATTATGTAGGCCTATAATGTGAGGCGCCCGTTTAAGTTCACTAAAGAGTTTTGTAATCATTCATTTAACTGTTTGTTACAGAATTAATAAGAAGCTTGACTCACGCTGGAGCAAATGAAGGTTGGTACAATCGCTCCCGCGAACAAATTGGTCGGTCGGATCGGGGAGCCTTCCGGATTTCGTCGGGACTGCTACGTAGTTCATTGCGTTGAAAACACAAGCGATTATAATGAAATCATGCTTCATCGTGTTGACGCAAACGCAGAAAACGCTACTGCCTAAATAGCGATGCTTGCGTTCAGTCAGCATTTTCAAATATTGCTATTGTGTGAACAGAGCATTAACTTAACTTTGTTTACGCGTTTAGACGTAACGCAAGCACAAGCGATGCTTGCGTTACGTGAACGATTTTAAATGTATTGCTTTCGTGTGAATCGAGCCTCAACCTTAATGTCTCAAATTTACAAACGCAAGAAACGCTACTGCCAATAGCCTACTGCCAATAGGCCTGTGCGCATTAGCGTTGCTTGCGTTTAACTTCCACAGTTATAAGTACACTTTATGTGAATCGAACCTCAACTTAACTTGGTTCAGCAAATTTAGACACATTAATGCAAACGTAATTTAAACACTACGAGCCTGGAGTAGCGTTAAGCTCGGTTTTTATACAATCGCTACAGAGTCGCTACACCGTTTTCACAATTCTAGCGCTGTGTAGCTGTCCATCCCTGACTCAATCGAGTCGCCAAGAGAATCTGGGATAGCGTCTAGCGATTTTTATTTTTCAATTTCAATTTATTCAAAAATAACCTCCAAACAAGGAGAAGCATAGGCCTACATAAAAACACGTTCAAACATTGGAAATAAAACATTGACTTAAATTACCGTATAAAATGTCAAATAATTTAAACACTGCACAAGGTTACTTAACTTGCATCTACGTGCAGAATGTTAAAAGGTAATCTTTTTATATAAACGTTATGGAAACCAAGCTTTACTTGCGTTTCAACAATCGCGTCTTAAGCGTGAACCAAGCCTTTTCATTGCGCGCCAAAGAGGATATCGGTTTTAATAAAGTCGCAATAGTGAAAATTAGACCATCTGAATAGGCCTATACGGTTGTGTTGAAGCTTCCTTGAGAAACTGTTATTATCTGTGGTTCAGCCGAATCGTGCAGAGAATTAATCTGATGAAAAATTAACGATCACGAGATTTGTGGCATGTCGATCGCGTGTTTTACTGCGTGATAATGTGGTTTTATGTGTGGTGGTATACGGTAAATGCTTTATATCTACCATGTTAGGGAGTCAATATTCTCAGTGAATCTATCTATTCGTGAAAATTCGTTAAAAAGTGACAATGAGCGGTGAGTGCTTATAGGGCGCAGTCGCCTTTAATTTTTCACATTTCTGTTGAAAATCAAGTTTCGTGCATCGCATTCTTTATTCAACATCAACGAAAGTATTAGTTACAAAAATGTAGTTTGGAAGCGTGTGACATCCCATGCTACATCGGTGATTCCAGTTGAAACTGTTATTTCAGTGTTTGCGGGTTGGGGTTCAAATCCAATTCTCAGATCGAAGGTTCAAACCTCCGATATGTTTAGCTTGAGTCTATGTATGGGCAGGGTGCACCGATCGTCACCATAGGTAAATTGGTACGAGTAGGATGTGTACGGCGTGCATTGAGCGCAATAAAAAAATTATCCACAGAATTCATTGAGTAACCCAAATTAAGGCCCCCATGGAACCCAGGCTATGATATTGTCGCTTCTGATAGTACAAGGCCGCCGGCAGCTTTAAGGTGCATTCACACCGAATCCGAATTTTCGGATCGGAAGGCCTACAGAACCGATCAAAAAATTTAAGAATAGGGATGCGTTAAACTTTTATCTTTTATTTTATCTTTTTATTAATTAAATTTTCTCTATCACATTATGAATCTTTAGCACAGCAGATGCTAAATTCGAAGTCAGCCAGGAAGACTGTACCAACGATGTTGCCAAGTAATTTGTGCCATTCCTGGGTAGTATACGATGAAAAATATCACCCTGAGTTGGTTCTGTGATGGTGTTCCTTATAGCGTACGGTAGATGGTGCATGCCCCTTGTGGATTTCGTAAGGCGACGCCCAGTTGAGGAAAAACAATATTTAATTGCCTGTAAATGTGGAACAAAATGAAACAAAATATGAAACAAAAGCAACAAATAATATTGATGATTAGTGTGCAGCTGAATGTTGATGATAATATTTACTATACTCACGGACGTCTTAGTTGTTTCACATTAAACAGTGAACCCGGATGGAGACATCGTTTTGAGAGGATTCAATGAAGATACAGTAGGCCTAATCTGCTACTGACATCATTGTGTCTATCATTATAAACAAAATCATGTATTACTGTACTCCGTGACCCAATGAAGTCAAAATGTTCAAGGTCTATTTTGAAACGAAATTGTATGCGCACGACGCGCAAAAGTAGCATTTTGCTTAAGTTCGCCTTTTATAAACAAAAGTTGTAATTAGTGAATATTGTGTTTTTACCGAGCTTAAGCCTACTAGTGTTTGCAAAAGCCAATGATTTGTGATTTATAATAATGTACTTTAATAATAGCAAGAACAGTAACAACACTATTCAACATTCGTGATTCTTGTTTGCATTTTATGGCTATTAAAGGTGGTTTGCCACGCGAAATAAAATGATGATGAATATTAGTAATACTGTAGGAACTATAATATAGTGATAATAATTATTATAT